AATACAATGAATGTAATGTTATAGTCTAGTTACCCATCTGCAAGGCCTGAAAGAGCTGCTTGATTTTGAGAAAAAGGATTAAGGTCAGGTCATCTCACAAAATAAAATTCAGTAGAATATATTTTAAGATGCCATGGCTTTTCTCTGGAAAAAGCTTTAAATACAGAAGTATTATGTGTATTTAATATATGGAAAAGGCACAGGAATCTTTCCAGTAAACACATGGTTTAAGAAATACCCTGGTTTGGAATATATCCTTAATATGAAAGCAATCCACAGATTTATCTGGTGGAGCTAATTCTGCTTTTACATGTATTCAGTAAAGCCCAAAATTCTCAGTACGAGGAAGGCCTTTTACATGAAGGTAGAAAGTGGAGGAGCAAAAGGGCCTTTTGGCCTCCAGTTGGTTTTTATGTCTTCATAGAATAGTAGAGTTGGAAGGGGCCAGAGGGCATCCAGTTTCAATTGTCTGCTCAGTGCAGGACTTCAGGTTAAACCTGAACAGTTGTCCAGTTGCATCTTGAATGCCTTTAGTGTGAGAGAGTCCAAAACCTCCCTAGGTCGTTGTTAGAGCAATACAACAGTGGAACCAATCAGCAAAAGTTCTTCCTGGCGTTCAGCTGGAATCTGGCTTCCTGTAACTTGAGTGTGGTTTTTAAAGGCTATTTGTTACACTTAGGCATACTTTGGCAAAGCTTGGCTTAAACGGTTTATTCTTATCTTTTGAAATCATCTAATATTCTGCAAAATAAGGCTAGTTAAGTAGCACACACAAATGGAGCCCCATCTTGTACCTGACTCCCTCATACACAAAATACCACAAACTCCATCACCAAGACACCAGAAGAGTTTTAAAAGTCTTTATTCCAATCAAGTATTTTAAAAAGCATTATGCTCCCCTAACACACACACCATTAAAAATACAAACACGAATTTCTGCCTTCACCCCCACCTTCAGGATACCGGCCTGATCATGGGAGCAAAACTACCCTGAGGCCTCAAACTCCCACAGCTGGAGCTAAGAGTTCCTTCCAACCCCCTCCCCAAATATAGCACCATTGAGAACCCCCTCCCCCACCCTCTCCTGATCCTCAAGCAAGCAACATGCAACCAGGGCTGTGTGCATTCTATCCCACTGCACGAGTGCAGAAGTGGAGGCTGGGTAAAGGTCAAGTTGAATTTTCTCACTCAAGTTTCTGGCTCTTAATGCTACGGTGACAAGTTTGGAAGTTCTGGAGCCTGATGATGTCCCAAAAGCCAGAAAAACAGGGTGGATGGAATGGAATTGTTCAGAATTTCCCATAGCCAGTGAACATTTCAGTACCTTCCACAGTGTTCTCCTACTCCAACAACAGAAGCAGATGAAAACTGAATTGATTTTCATTAACTCGTGAAGGTTCAGAGTTTGGTTTGCTATTCTAGATATTTTTTAGTGCAGAGTACACACAGCTCTGGAAAGATGCACCTCATCTGTGACATCACCGTTTTCCTCTCCCCTCTTTTGTGCAAGGAAAATAAATCCAGACTTGCCTAGTTCATTTAAAAGTTTCTTAAGGTGGATGGACAAGTGCTGGAAGAGCCCTATATTTAAATAAAGCACTGGGGGCATTGTGGGGAGGGGGTGAGAGGAACCACGTATCCCTACCCTAGGTCATGCATGTTATTGGCTGAGCAACTCATTGCCTCGTAAAAATAGGCTCAAGGCAAAGTTAGTGATGAATCTTCCACAAGAGGCAAGTAAGATGGATGCACTATAATTAAAAACTGCAGACACTGGGGCAGATGGTGGTGTTCTGCAACCTTTCACCTTACCACTCCCTGAGGAACCCAGCCACCTTCACCAGTGTCTGGTTTGCTTATCCCCTTGACCCCCCCCCGCCCGCCCCCCCGCAGTGTAAAGGGCCAAGATATCTCAACACCTTCCTGAGCATAACTTATGGGAGGTGGGATTTTAAAATTGTTTCATGAAATGAAGACAGACTGGCTCCAGGCCCAAAAAATGCTTTAAAAGTCTCTTACACTTGATGGAAGAAGCTATGTAACAGACAATGGGGTATCTGGGAAGGGAACAGAGACAGGGGCATGGAAAGGCAGATAAAAGAAAGCTGATTCAGAAGATCTAATGGAAGCTGAGATGATGCCTGGACAAAAGGGAACTGACCTTGAGACATTTCTGACTGGGGAAAAGAAACCATTCAGATGGAATGCAAAGACTCAAGATAACTGGCCTTCCCACAACTCCACTCAAGATAACATGCATGTTTCTATTGTGCAAGTCATGGAGGTGGAAGAAGTAAAAACACAACAAAATAGACACAGAACTAGGACAAGACAGAGGGTGGAGGGGTGTCTTGATGCTTCCCTTCCCAAGTGAGGTAGTATAAACTTGAAGTATAAACCCACCTTAAAAGATGAGGAAAAAGAGGCACCGAGAGGTGAAAACTGAGCCCCTGTCCGTTCTTCAGCAGGGAGCATTCAATGTCCTGGCAAGCAGCATCCACCCTCCCTACCCAGACCGTTCCCCACACAAAGCCCTTGATCACCTCACACTCTTTCTTTCTCTCTCCCCGCTACCCCCAACCACAACAGTTACTAACTAAAGGTTGTGCACTACTTCTACCATCAACCAACATGGAATAGACACAAACTTGTAAAAGTAGCAGGCAGGAAAGCAGGATGGACACTCCTAGCACCAGGGGTCTGCAGCTGCTTAGAAACGAACATTACTGTTTAGTACAGCTGCTTGTGCTCAGACAAATACTGATACATCGGTGAAAGTGCACACTTTATGACATTCCCCAAATGAGTCATTCCTTCCAATATAGCAAAAAACCATTAACAACCCAAAAACAAATATCGGATGCAACACCTTCTCATACATTTAGTTCAAGATTCCATTGGCATGAAGCCACATGCAGACACAGAATTGGTCTCATACATAATGAATAATCTGCACTACAACATGACACATGTAACCAAAGTAGGAAGTACAACTGGCAAGATTAGTTGTGTGAAATCCACAAACTGAAAATAAGTGGCTAAAGAGGTTTTGGGGTGGGGGGGCAGGAAGTAAACAAGTGCTTGAAAATACACACACACACATTTCAACACACACCAAGACAAATTTGGAGAGCAGAAAAAGATGCACAGGTTCAGCTATGTATCAGTTCTTTGAGTGAGCAAACTATTGAGTGAGCAGCTTATTTTTCAACTCTCCTTTGTGAATACTCATATGGATTTTGCAAGAATAGACTGGAGAACATGCATGAACTTTGCACATCCATGTGAAGGCCTGGGGGAACTGCTCACATTGATAGCATAAGAAGAGTGTTTTATATCTTGCACATCAATTGGGATATTCCACAGCTGGTGGTTAACGTTGTTCATACTATTTGCACACATTTCCACAATGCCTTTATATGAATATGCAAAATTGTTAGTCCCTATGAATATTATCTGTGACTTAAGAGTGAAATTTCTCTGAGGGCAGCAGATCAGCTACGTTAGACAAAATGGCCTGCTATAGCCTTTAAAAAGGCCATATTCATAATAGGAGATTTGCAGGTTTTCTGGGTTTCTCTTAAGGTTACAAGACAAGTTTGTCTTTTCCAAAACTTCAGCATAAGCATGAGAAAATCCTATTGCAATCATGAAGGAAGACATCCTTCTACAAGCTTAAGCCCTTATGACCAAGTCCAAGAAATACGACCTGCATTATTAATACAATTTCATTTTTGGGATAATGTGAAGAGCCAGAGCTCCCCCTGGCTTCAAGTTGTGTCCTTGTAACTCACACAAACTAATGTCTAAAAACACTTTCAAAAACACAATTTCCCAGGATTCAGCACTTTAAAAAAACAACAACAGAAGGCCTGAAATATAATACATGTCCACCACAGAGCTAAAATGCATACCAGGCAAATTCTAGGAACAGCTCTAAAAGTTCTTCAAAAGAGATCTCATCTTCAGAGATCAGGACCTTTGTAGCTGGATTCTAGCCATGGTTAATCAGAAGTATGGATTCAATGAGATTCTATCCCAAGGAGTAAACCTTAAAATATTCGTGTGACTCTATATGCATACTTTTAGCCTCAGCATACCTGTTTTTCAAACTTTATGGATAAGCATCTTTAACAATGAAATGCACCAAGATGGGGACTGTACAGAAAAAGGACAAAGGGGTAGAATCTGGTTCTCCTATTATCCCTGGCTATAAACTTACCAAAGTCAGTACCACAATGCTCTCCATAGAAACACTGCCTGCAAAACAGAACAAGCACTCACAGAAAAAGGTGGACTTCAGTGCTCCTGTCTATCCAGTATCCAGTGGCTTAGTCCAGGCAGTTCTTGGGATTTCTAGTAGATGGGGTTCACTGTGGTACTTAGAAATCGAACTGCAAGTTAGTTGGGAATTAGAAGCCACTGGACAAATATACAGAAGACCAATCTACTGCAAGTGGTTTGAATTGAACCCAGCCACCAGATGAGCAGAACCATTTATTCTGCTCAAGCCAGCTCCTCACAGAAGGAAGGCCCCTTCTCACAAAGCCCCTGAGCCAAGCAGTCCCCTGATCAGAGCTGGGAAAGTACAATTATTTTATTCACTACCACTTGGCTACGGTGTGAAACATTTGCATAAAACTATCAAACTCACTGGTATTCTGAAAATACCATCAACTGTATCAAATATAAAAACCTGAATAGCTTATGTTCATTAAGAGTCTAAAAAGTTCCAGTACACACTTGTCTGAAAGCCCCAAAGGGGAGTAGAGATAAGATAAAACAGATCTAGCTAATACAAAAGTGGCTTTAAAAACTAGAAAAGTAGAGGTCTTGTAACAATAGGCACCTAAAAAGGAGGGGAGGGGAGGG